AGTAAATGCTTCCAGGGCATACCCCCAGCATCACAATCCCTCTAACTAGGCCCCACCTCCAATCATCTCCACCACTCCCAATAATGCCATCAAATTAACCCATCAACGGATCAGCCCCACTGATGAGGTCAAGAACTTCATGATCTAATCACTTCCCCAAAGCCCCACCCTGAATGTTGGTACTGGAAGCCATCAACACATGAGCCTTTGGGGGGCACTCCAGATTCAACCTCCACTTGAGTAACAATGGCCATTTAGAGTGCCAGGTGGTTTATCTGACTTAATCCABACAGTGACTTCCCAATCTGAAAACGAGGCACCCAAGGCTCAGGGCTTTTCTGTTTCATGTTCCAGCTCACAAGGCTGGAGAGTTGCAAATGTAGAATTCTAGGGCATGTCTCTCAAAATGCATTCTGAATCCAGGTGTCGAGCCCCAATCAATTTCTAGCCTGTACAAAGCACTTTTCCTTGCACTGCTCTCGAGTCAAACAGTTTTGAGGAGCAAGGTGCTCGGTGACGTGAGGTAGAAGGTAGGGGGCAGGCAGACTGCTGACCTTTGCTGCTCAGTGTGTGCTGTGGCACTACTCGGGCTTACTAAAGTTCTTTTAATCAAGATGTCTGGCAACTTGTGAGCACACCAGTTGAGAAGCACAGCTGTTGAAGATCTGTGAAAATACCTACCCTAGTCATGTGACCCTGAGCTGCAACATCACTTTCCCTGGTCCCTACCAACACACCCAGGACCCAGAGTCAAACTCTGGGGCCTCAAGTTCTGTTCTCCAAGGCCAAGCACCACTTAACACCTGTGCTCACCCAGGGATGAGGAGCCAGCAGCCACACCTGTGGAGCCAAGGGAGCCTGCACTGTTTTGTGTGCCTGTGTTTGCCCCCAGAGGGGATTGGGGGTGGGAAACCATCATCTTTGCTCCTTGCTCTGAAAATACGAAGCCCATGTTTTCTGCTGTAATGTTTTTCCAGATCTTGTGCCTACTGGGTCACTCAGACAAGATTCTGGAGTTCAGCAAACATGCTTCCATCCATCACCAGTGGAAGGCTTGTAGCAGAGGTGCTACAGAAGTATCATATAAAGTATATCAGATTGGCCCCCAGAGCAATCTAATGAGCTTCATCCTCAACAGAACCAGCTGCCATTTGAGTGTTAGCTGCATGGCAGATACCGTGCTCAAAATTCCCTCAATCCTGATGTGCAACATTCATTATTCCTGTTGTATGGGAAGGAATGTGAGGAATTAGTAGCTTATGCTCTTAGCCACACAGCTCTTTTTAATGCAATCCCCAAGGATTGTTACTAAATCACTTAGTATGCCTGCTTCAAGTACAGAACCAAGAGAACCCCCCGCTGCCCAAGCCAATCTCTACGGATGCAGCATACTTAACGAGAAATCCAAGTGGAGTTTACACACTCTAGTTGGAGATGACTGTGCCGTGTTACATTGTCCCCATCTAAACAATGCCCTGAAGTATCATGGATCTTAACCTTCAGATCTGTTGAGCTGCATAGAAATGGCCAGGTATGCGTGTTAGAGAGAGCTCTGTGGGGCCAGTTAAAAATGGCCTTGAGAAGCCTGTTGGGGACAGAGACTTGTTTGACAGTTTTATCAGAGCATCACTCTAAGCCATCAATGCCAGATGGTGCTCCAGATTCACCTAAGTGACTGGCTCACTGTACGGCTTCTCAAATTCTCTCAGGAAAATTAAATTCTAAGAATTACATGGATTCTGGGCTAAAATTCTGAATCAATTACTAATAGAATAATGCAGATAAAATTCAAAAGCTAACAGGGTCAGGATTGGAAACTTGAAAGGCCATCCTCTTAGCAGAACTTCAAATTTTCATACTATTTGGAACAGATTTCAGCTCCAAGTTCTGACACTTCTCGGAAATGCCACTATCACTTTAAAATTTGCAGCCTTTATTTTCAGACCTTAAAATCATGGCCTGTCAGCATGGCTTATGCAAGTTGTGTTATGCCCCCTGGTGGCAATTTGGGTAGGAATGGGGAACAGGTTTCAATCACAGGATTAGGGCCCACTTAATTGAAATAGGTGGCAGGCCTGAATTTGAAATGGAGTTTCATATAAAACTTTTCTGGTTTTACTAAAAATAGCAAACCTTCTATTGAATGAAAACCAGATGTATTAACTTCAGCCTGCAAGATGCATATATCAATTTCCCCTGCTTTGTCATGAACTGGATGAGCTTCTTGGAATGTCACTTGAATTAAATATTTGCTCTATAAGTGGCTGGACCCAAAAGAGCTCAAGTCTGAATTCCCAGCTTCTCCTCCAGGTCAGTGCAGCATCCACGATGCCACAGTCTGCAGAGCAGCTGTGGCCCCATACCCAGAAGCTTCAAAAAGTCACTTGGCCCAAATCACCATTCCCCTCAAAATCTAAACTTTATAATTTATTCTTCAGTCAAAACTGCCCAATATGGATTTTGGTGGATTATACTGAGAGCTCTTGAGTGAGGTTTTATTTTACCTGTTTGGGGGCAGAAATAGATGAGTGAAGATATCAAGCTACCAGAACATTATGCTGGATTTTCAAGCTACCAGAACATTACCTGGATTTTCGGGTGGGGCTCAGCTGGGTGGTAGAGCACTGCCTGGCACGCAGGAGCAGTGGGTGTGGAACCCAGATGAGCCTAGTCCTCCACGCAGCATTGAGGAAAAACAGAGACTCCTCAAGCTGATGTTGACGTGACCATCAGGTGCAGGGCTCTATGCAGACCAGAAGACGGAGACAGGGAGTCACCACTCCCACACAACGTGGAGAAGGTATATAACCCAGCAAACCCATGAGACACGCTGTAGTGAGGACAACTGAAGATAGGGAAGAGGTTAAGTCTGTACTTGGGAGGAGGTGAGTGCTTCCTAGCAGGTGACTGGAGGGCCTATAGTGCTGAGGGAGCCACCTCCCATGGCTGGAGGGCATAGCTCCACAAGCAGGAGTGAAAAAGAGTGGCTGAGGTCCCTGACTGCATGCACAAAGAGTCCAAGAAAACACTTCACTAGCTCTGTTCATGAAGTCATCAGCCAAAAACCCTAACAGGCATTTATGTCCTGAAGATGCACAAGAAAAACACACAAGTTGAAATACGTTTACTCTTCAATAAGCAGTGCTAACTGCAGTCTGTACATCAGGTTAAGCATCGCCACCTTCATTTCTGTTCCATGATGCTCAGATGATCCTTGCTTTTCATCACAGCAACAGCCAAAGTCCCAGCTTCGTGCAGGCAGGAAAGCAGGTGGCCTCACTGACTGAGCCTGCTTGAGCTGGGGTCTGCAAGGCTATCTGACAGTTACCAGGTATTTGTTTCCTCTGGAAATTAAAAATATCCCATGGTTCTTCTATGAGTTCACCATGATCACCCAAACAAAGCCTGAAAAGCCAAGACTGCACAGATCCCCAATGACCTAATTTCACATTAGTCAACTACACCCCAATGCCTAGGTAGAAGCGAAGTGGAAAGGTGGCCAAGAAGGGGTGATGCAGACTGAAACACGGGTGAAGGAGGCAAGGAGCCAGGTGCATCAGATGAGGTCCTAACTGGAGAGACATGAGGCAGCCAGGGCAGAGCATGGTAAACACAGGGGCTCCTTTCATGGGCAGAAGTGCAGTTAGGGAAGCTAATTACAGTATGTGACAACCACATCTGCATTTAACTGGCTTCCTTTGTAGTCCTGGTATTTTATTTCACGCATGAAAACTCTTTTTTGAAAGAGGCCCTTAGGCTTCACCAGAATGCCAAAGGGATACAAACACTGATTTGTCATCAGATATGCAAGTCTGAAATTCAAGAGTTCAAGAGAAGCACAATAAATGTTAATAAAATGTGTGTGGATGTATAATGGTAATGCATAATGGAAGCCAGGGGTACTAATGGACAGTTTCAAGGAGCAGAGGTTGCCATACAGGTGAAGGGTAGAAGCCTAGAACACAGAGTCAAGGGTGAGATTTCAGGGAGAAAGTGAAAGGAAGATAGAACTAAGAACTGAGAGAAGAGCTCCCTGATGGGGGTGGTCCTGCATGGCGGAGGTAAGGAGGACGAAGACTGAGAAGCATCCTGGAGTCCTGGAAAGGGAGTGCTTTGTGGCAGAAGCTGCAGTACCATGAAAGGTGGGTTTACAAGCACAGCACAACGATCCAGAAATTCATGTGAACAAAGAAGTGACAATAATAATAGAGACAGGAAGAGATGAGAAGCCTATGGCTACAACTGCAATGTCTCCTGGACTTACAGGCAGACTTCTTGCAGATCCCAACTCCTGGCTACTGAAAGATAAACGAGAAGGCAGGTGGACCTCAGCTCAGCACCCAGTTCCTCCGCCTGGATTCACTCCTCTGCTGCTTCTCCCACTCCAGGGCTTCCCTCCATGGAAGGCCTGGTCTCTACGGGGTGTATTCACCGTCTCTAACAAAGAGCAAAACACTTGAAACCTTAGAAAGTACCTAAGCCTAACACATAACAGGCCCCCATTTCCTCATGATGGATCCAGGAAGAGCGACAATCACACTCCAACTTCCCCTTCAATTAACCACTCTCCAAGTGTGGGGTCAGGGAAACACTCCAGACCTCAGTCTCCTAAGGAGCAACAGTTCCAACCTTGGCTCAGCTACTGAATCTTTGGGGACCTTCATCATTACTGATGTATAAGGGAGTGACAATATATCCTAGTCCTGCTTGAGGAGAACCATGCAAGAGCCTGCCCACAATGCTCAGGGCACAGCCAGGGCTCAAGCATGGCTTGACTTAACAGCCACCATGGAAATAGCAGAAAAAACATGTACTTCAAAGGTAACTCCAGCCAGTGCACACAGCAAGGGACTGGGCAGATACGCAAGTAGCTGCACAAGTTATTTCAATTATAAAGTTAATGAAAGCCTACATTAAATGCGTGTCTTGAGAATGATCACTTTGAGAACATATAAAAGCTGCTTGAAGGAACTTTATTTGTTATTTCTGATACTCCCACTAGTTTCAACTTAACTACACCCTTCGAAGAAATTAAAAGATGGCAAGCCATCTACAAGGGGCAGCTGCGCAGTCAGGTGGACATTCGGAACATTCTCCCCTTTAGCTCCGTGGCCCTCTCTTCTATTCTTGCATAGCACTCCTCTGCTGCCTTCTCAATGCCTTTATGGTACTTGTCCAAGGTAGTCCTCAAGTTGAGGGATATTTCCTAGTGGAAAATAAATAGAGTAGGAATTATTCCAGGCAACAACCTCATCAGACTTCCATTCATGTTTATTAATACTTTAAATTATTCTGCACAGGAGCACAATGCCTGCTGTCATGAAAAATCCACTCTAAGCCCAATGCACACATCAAAAAGTCCTGCTACTTAGAAGAAACAGAGATGTAACATAAGCCAAAACTTCAAAACATTAAGAACAATCATTTGAAATTATAAAAAAAAGTTTTACTGTTGAACATGGAGAACACCTGGATTCACATGGGTACCACCTCTGCATCCAGCCCTAACTACCACCTGAACCATGCCAAAGACTCCAAGCCTACATCTCCAAACCCTCTGAATGAGGGCTGGGAAGTCATACCTACCACCTGAAATACACCACTGACTCTGTGCCCACATCTCCAAACCCTCTGAATGAGGGCCAGGAAGTCCTACTGTGAGCAATAGCAGCTTTCATATAACACTTGTGGATGTGCTACAGATTTTACAAGAATGAGCAATTTTTATAGACTGAATAAAGAAATTCAATTGCATACATTTTCCTTTATTTCATATTTATCAAAGGTAATACTGATCCGTTTATTATTAATTTTCCTTAGAAAAAACAAACCTCAAGATGAATTCACTAATTAAACAAAACAGTGGCCCTTTGCCAATAGGGCAAAATTTATGGTCAAAGCAGAGAACTGGTACAATGTTCTCAACTTTAAGCGTCTCTCCTATTAACTTTCTCCTAAACCTGTAATAATAGCTACTACTTACCTTTACTTAAATTCTGGTGTAGATATTTTCAAAGTTCACACACATTGCACAGATTATAATTCTATATAGGCCTTTTTAAAAAAATCAGATCAATTTAAGTCCCTAGTTCTACTAGATGTATGATGACTCATACTAAAAAGAGAGTTGCATATATCGGGTAGAAAGATACTAGTTGAGAGAAATTATCAAAATCAAGTGTGGCTAAAGAAAGACATTTGCAAACACAGGAGCCCATCATTTCAGTACAACCATAGGACATTCTTCTGAGAACAAACATGCTCAAGATACCACACAGATAGGGTCACAGTGAGAGAGGAAGACAGGGAGGGCACTCCAGGAGCATCCAAAGAAGCAAACACTGGATGTCCTGAGCCACTTCACAAGGAGTTTCGTGGTGACAGATCACAGCCCCCACACTGTGTATTAGGGTTTTTATTTATATTTACATCCAAGTGGAAGTTTACAATAGTACAAGAATTCACATATAAGTTTTACTGTGAGAATCTCACTGAAGTTCAATATTTTTAAGATCAAATTCTAGAGTTGAGGGTGGAGTTAAGAATTTACAGTACTCTCCTAGCATGCATGAGGCCTTGGGTTCCATTGCTAGCACAAAAAAAATAGACAAAGGAAAAAAAGGGAACCTATAGTCTAGTTCTGTGCTATTTAATATTCTGGCCACAGGCAGGTATTTAAATTTAACATAATTAAAACTCAACTTAAAGCTCAGCCTCTGGGCTGCAGCAGACACGTGCCAAGGCTCAATGGCCACACGTGCTTTGTGGCTATAGCACAGCTCTCACAACCCACTAATGCAGAGAATCCCAGTAGACAGTGTTGGTCTATCTGGGTTTTCAGATCAGAGAAGGTGAAGGTCATACAACACCCACGGTGTTCATTTCCTGTGCAGCTATTCACTCCATAAGCACATTCCTGGCACCATCCAAGGATATTACAGGGCACTCTGTATAGCACAACAGTAAGTGGAAGTTGCAGTGATGGTTGTGGCCCTAAAGGAAAATAAAACCAGCCCAAAGACTGAGCACTTGTAATACAGCTAGTGTAAAGGAAAAAGTAATCTTCAATTTCACTTCACTGTAGTTATGAAGAGCCACATGTGGCTAGCAGATGCCCTATTACACAGCACAGAACCATATTATCTGGAAGAGACCAAAAGTGTATTAAGAGAAATCAAAGGCACCTGAAAGGAGTCCAGGAAAGTTATCAAGCCTCAAACAACGAAGGACTGCCCAAGCCCTAAGACCTGAATGTGCTGGGATGGGGCTGGGCCTCCCTTATTCAGAGGCCCATCCTTGAGTCAAAGGTGACCACAGACATCTGGAAGATGACCAGGCCATCTGCTGACATGCTGATGGAGGCTCTGGGCAGTCCATTCACTGTGAATGGATCCAATAGCTGCAAGAGAGCAGCCCAGCTCCACTTTCAACAAGGAAGTGAAATAGTGTGGTGCTATTTCAGCAAGACACAGTTGACAATTCTTGCTTTCCAGGATAGATTTGATGTAGAATTAGAGTCACAGAAGAAATTTAGCAAGTTCTGCTGCCATCCACGAGTCTTACAAAACAACACACTACGGACAGAAAGGGACTGTTAGGAACAGTGGAGCTGAAAGACCAATTTATTTGCTGATTGCCTTAAAACTAGGATTGTCTATCATCTTCTGTCTTTGTTATGGAAAATAATGCTGCCACAGAGAAATACAAAATGAATGAATGAGAGACACATGGTGGGGAAAGGAGGAAGCAAAGAAGAGGACAGGCAACAAGAGAATGAACAAAAGCTCATAAATGCTATTTCTTCCATGAGTGGGCAGAACAGGAAGCAGATTTTTGAAAGCTACCCAAATAAAGATAGCAATTAAAACTGGAAATAGAATGAATTATCTATGAGAAAAAAATACTTGATAAATAAAGGGTTATGGTAAAAACTTGAATCCAAAAGAAATGCAGGAAAAGCAATCTGAAAGTCTTAACACGTCCCTTCTCTTTTCCTCAGAGGATCAGGTAGTAAGCTAGAGAGCCTTCATAAAACCACCCTTACGTCACCCAGGTATTTACAGTCCTTCCCCAGCTACTATGAGCAGATACATGTGTCACAGTGCGGGCTGAGAAATGGCAAGTTAGAGAAATCAGCAAGCCCAAAAAATGTACCTGAAGTTTTGATCTGTAACTATGCAGCAGAGCCCAGAGCCACTCAACTTTTTAATATGGAAAAGGCAGCATGTTAATCAAAGTTTCAGGAGACACTAAATAATGACAAGAATTAATATTTGCATTAAATTAAGGTGTTATTGGGCAGGGTGTCATATGCCCGAGGCAGGAGGATCACAAGTTCAAAGACAGGCTCAGCCACTTAGTGAGACCCTCTCAATAAATAAAGGGCTGGGGAAGTAGCTCAGTGCTGAGTGACCCTGGGTTCAATTCCTGGCACCAAAATAATAAATAAATAAAGTACAGTATTATGGTTTAGATAGTAAGTGTTCCCCAAAAACTTATGTGTGACACTATGCAAGGTTTAGAGGTGAAATTAGTGGCTTATGAGCTTCAACCTAATCAGTGACTTAATCATCTGATAAGGACTAGTTGAGTGGTAACTGTAGGCAGGTAGGGTGCGACTCAAGGAAGGTCCCTAGGTGTGTGCTTCGGGGTTTACATTGTGTCCTTTTGAGCAGAGCTCCCTCTCTGCTTCCTGATCGCTCAGTCTCCAGCTGCTTCCTTATACCATACTCTTCTGCCCTGATGTTCAGCCTCAGGAGCCACGTGGGACAGAACTGGCTGTCTATTGACTGAGACCTCTGAAACTGTGAACCACCAAATAAACTTTTCCTCTTTAAAGTTTTCTTGCCAGGACTTTCGGTCATAGCAGAGAAAAGGCTTACTGAAACAGGTAAAGAATATCTCACCTTGGCAGAACCACCGTGAAAGTGACCCCAAGCTCTGCAAGTTAAAGATAAGGTGCTACTGCTACAAATTTACCCTGCTGTTAGGCCCCATCCTCAAAGGCACCGCTCTGTACTGTCAAGCCGTGATCTTGGAAGACTATTTAGGACTAAGTTATACATTGTAAAAGGATTAATGACAAGCAGGGAACAGGAGACAAGCAAACTGGTTAGTCATGAATCTGAAAATGAAGCTATATAAAGGAGGCTGGAAAACTGGGGCTCAGTAACCCATTGAGAGAAGACTGAAAGAACCTTGACAGCCTCAAATGCCTTAAGAGATACTCAGCAAGAGGGCACAGATTGATTCTAGAGACAAGACCTCAGTTCACTAGAATGTAAAAATAAAAATTTAAAATTCAAAATGAGAACATTTCAACAATAAAAGCTGTCTTGTTCTRCTAGGACAATAAGCAGAACCTATAGTGATTCTCAAAAGCCAAGACAAAGTACAAACTCTTGCCCTGCTACTGGAGGTCCTAATTCAGCACATTCATTCAGGGACTTGTTCATTCAAAAACTCTTTACTGAATAACGACACAGAGACAGTTTTAACACTGTGCTACAAAACCTTATGATTTTACAGGATCTGTGGAAAGCATACTACACATAAGCCACCATTCCAGCATAGTTTACATGATGCCAAGTTTGGACCACGCATGATTGCTACTGTCAAGAAGTTAAAACGTCACTGGGAAACACACACACAGAGAACTAAGAGTAATGTAAGACAGATATGCACATTTTCTATGATTGAAACAAAGATATCTTAAATTTGAGTTAGTAACTACTTGGTAATGCATTACTAACTAGTTCATTAACCATACGTGGACCATGTGATAACAAACATTTGTTAATTTAGTTAAAAAGTAGGATTAGCCAGGCACAGTGGTGCATGCCTGTAACTTCAGTGACTTGGGAGGCTGGGTCACTTGTTAAGTACCCCTGGGTTCAATCCCTGGTTCCAAAAAATAAAGTAAAATTGAAAAGGAAAAAAAAAAGGATTAGATATCTGCTAAAATCTATCCAGACTTTTTTCCAAATGGAAAAGGAAGGACAGTATACTGGGCAGACCAAGGAGAACCACTGCTATTCTACTCTCTTCCTATCTTCTTACCTTAAAAACAGCCTACAGACATTATCCATAAGCATTCATTCACAGATACACAAGTACTAACAATGTATCCTAACAATGTATCTTTTGGGGGATAAAAGTACCTTGCATGTATGGGCAGGGTCCATCCTGGCTCCTTAGAATTAGCAATCTTTGAAAACTGGGTGTGTATGGTGGAATAAAAGTAGGTATATGAATAGTTACCAGGTGTCAGGGTGTTTCAGAAACTGCAACCTACAGTGCTGATGTGTGGAAGATGAAGAGGAGTGAGAAAAATAGATATCAAAGAATTTTGCATGAAAAATGGCCTTTTTAGTGATTTCTTATAGAGCAATTTGGACAACTGTTCTAGTTAAAAACAATTTTCAAGATAAAAATCAAACTTCAAAAGTTAAGGAAAGGTGGACAGGATGGTGTGTCTATAATCCTAGAGACTTGGGAGGCTGAGATTGGAGGACCCTAAGTTTCTGGGCAATGCAGAAAGACCCTGTCTCAAAGTGAAATAGAAAGGGTGGGATGTGGCTCAGTGGTAGAGCGCATGCCTAGCACACTGAAGGCCTCCAGTTCAATCCTCAGCAGCACACACACAAGTTGAGGAGAGAATGGAGGCTTAATGAATATTTTAGGAATAGACATGGACAGTTAAAGGGCTAGAAACAGGCATGGCAATGTACTGGCATTTTCAAAGATAAAAATGTAGAAGATTCCTATTCTCATTAAAACTAAGGTTATTTAAGAAGCTATAAAATAAATATACTCAAAATGAGCAGGAAGTAAACATAATAATTTTAGATAATTATATATAGATATTAAAATTTTCCTAACACAAAGGGACCAATCTAAGCTCTTTTTTCCAAACTTCAGTTAACTGAATTACATTTAACAATGACACCAAGAAAAACTTTTGAGATCTTTTATTGGGGGGGGGGGGGGAAATACCGAAATTTTTTTTACTTAAAAATTAGTGATTACTTAATGAAATCACTATTCAAGTTCATTTACCTAATAAAATCAAAACTTTAACACAGAAACCACTTTTACTACAAAAAAAAAAAAAAAAAAAAAATGATGTTCTACTACGTGCTATCAGGAGCCCAAGTCAAGCAAGAAGAAAGACAGAGAGGAGATACCTGTGCACTCTGTGCAAGAGTGACACAAGAGCTGCAGAAATGGAGACAAAAGCCAAGGGCAGCCAGGATTCCAGCTGGAGAGCTGACAGACACCTCCAGCAAGGCTGCCGTGACCCCATCCTCAGCACATGGGACCTCTTAGTTGACACTCACGAACAGATAGCTACTCACATGGGACTTCAGTTTCTCCCTTTCGGTGGCATCTTTTATTTGCTGAATTCCAGATTTAATCTCTTGGATTTCTTGATTAATTGTGGTTAATTGCTCACAGACAGCACTTCTTTTTTCTTGGACTTTATTGCAATCCCTAAAAGAAAACAGACATAGCTGATATAATTACTTAGTATTTAAAAAGGCAAAACAATGCTGACTCTGATTCCAAAGTCTCCATGTGTCACTAATGGTTTCACGGACCTAAAACTCTTCTCAGGACATAAAAGCAAACAGACAGATCCCCCAAAGTGTGGTGCTACAGTCGCATCAGGGCACTTAAGGGCTTTCCTTTAAGGAGGGGATTTTCAGCTGCACACCCACAGCTATGCTTACGATGGGAATCAGCACAACTTTTCTGCAAGGCAGTTTGGCGACAAGTACAACATTCTCTGGTGCTGCCCCTTGCTCCAGCACGAGGAATTGCAAAGGAAACACTCAGCTGATCTCCGACACCCATTGTAGGGACTAAGGGGATGACAGATAACAGATCTGCAGCACATGTTCTAAAAACATAGTCTTAGAATCGATGGGGAGAAGATCACCAGCAAAACACCCCAATGTACTGTCCTCAAAAATATTCAGCAAATTATTAATCTATATTTGAATAAAAAGATTTCTCAAAATGGATGCTATTAACTCTACAGACCAGATATACTGTAGACAGGACAGCTAATTCTTCTGAGGCAATTCTAAACCACTGTCTGTTAAAGACCATGAAATACGCAGCACCATGCTCACTAAAGAGGAACAAAAAGGAACAGCTAGAACCTTTCAAAATCAGGATGGAGCACTACAAGTTTCATGACGCCTCTGCTAGAGTCACCAAAAGGTGGAATGCCCTTTTTCTGGGGGGAAACACACACACACACACACACACACACACACACACACACACACACACAGCTTTCTTCATCACTTCCTAGTACACAAAGACTTGAAGGTGCGCTCCTACTCAATTACTGCTCGTTTGTATTGTTTGATGTCCTCATGTTTCTTATTTATTTTGAACTGTGCCGTGGCCAGTTTTTCCTTCTTCACAATCAGCAGTCTTCTGAGTGAATTTTCTTCAGTCTTCAATTTCTTTAGTTCAGATTCATCATTCTCAATTTGGTCCTCTAAGTTCCGACTCTAAATTTTATGAGAAGCATTTAAAATCAGTTAAGCTAGTTAGGATTATAAACAAAATGAAAGGGTACTTTTGAAATAAGCTATAATAAAATAGTTTTGAAAGGGATACAGACCTTGAAGCCCTGAAAGCATAGCAAAAAGCAGCAGACCATGCAAGGGGGACAACAGGGACCTTAGAATGAGCATAACAAGCAGAGGTGCCCTTACATGGTCACTCTGCCAGCCAAGACTTGGGGAGGTGCAGGTGCAGTATCAGTCAAGAGGCTAAGGCTGGCTGGGGAGGATCTGGACCCAGTCAAGAAGCTGAGGCTATCTGGGGACAGTCTAGACTTAGCTGGTAGCAAAAAAGGAAAGGGCAGATCCTAGGAGCAAGTAGAAGTAATAGATCTGTCTTGTTAACCTGCATGGTAGATAAAGGAACTATGAAGTGGAAATCTCACCTAACTCCTACTCTCTTAAAAAAGAAAATGTCTTATCAAATGCCAATGATAATGACCCTAGGGGTGGTCTGAATGTAAGATGGTAAGAAGTGAGAAAGAACTGTTTTCTAAGCTTCCAGCCTGAGAAACTTAAATAACACCAGAGTTCTCAGGTCTCAGGATAAAAACTATCTATATCATAAACTTCAAAGCTCTCTACAAATCCTCAGTGCACTTCTGGGCACTAGACTGGGACTTTATGCTTACTGATCAGGTAAGAATATTTCCAAGGGTTACAAGTTGAAATATCCATTACTGTTTCCCAAAACATATATGGCGATGTGCTGTGCCAATCACTCATTTCATCTGGAGGTTAAGACAGGTCTTGCTATATTTAAAAAGAAAAGTGTCTTTTTCCTATCACACTGTGGAAGAATCCCACCTATCTTCAGGAAAACAGTTAAGAGTGAAACTGACTCAAAGAACTACAGTAAGCAGCTCCATAACAGACAACCCTCCTGCACAACACAAACCTCCTTCAAGGCACTGGTCAGCTTGTCCTTATTGTCTGCAAGTTCCTGTATTTTCTTCTGATACAACTGCACCTCCAGCTGGCATGAAGGCAGGCAGTCTACTGAGTCTCTATAGATTTCATACTTCTCCATCACTTCTTGCTATGAAAGGAAAGAAAAATGAGCCCAGAGTTTGATAGTTTTCTTTATAAAACTACAGTAATATGAATTTATTTGCTCTTAATGACTTCTGTGCATAAGTCAGCATCAGAGCATCATCACCAACATGTGTCCAGTTGAGCGATTACATCTCTTAACTGGCAAAGGAGCCAGTTCAATGCTGTGGTTCCACCCCAGGGCTGTGCAAAGGGCCAGGAAATGTGTTTCTCCCTCTCAGGTGCTTCTGATCCCCCTGGCAATCACATCACCCATCTACAATCTTCCTACTCCCTGGTACAACTACTGCTATAGCCACCTCTTTTAAAAAGAACAATTCCAATTCTAAAATCATGAAATGAACACATGCTTACTGTAACTGCAAAGACTTCTCTATTCTCCCCTCTAGGCACTCCTGCCAACTGCCTAGCCAGCAGGGCTCCCCTCAGTTAGGACTGGGTCATGCTACTGCACGCTCTTTCCCAGCTGTTCACACACTCTGCATATGATAGACACAATCCTTGACCTGTCAGATGCACTGCAAATATGTTCTAGTGGGTCTAGTTTTCTCTATAGCTTTTGGGTTTCCAATCTTAATTTTAAAAACCACCTATCACAGTATAAGACTACAATAAATATTCTTTTAAAATTTCTAAAACTATTGAAATTTTAAACTTTAATTTATAATCCACATAAGTAGTTTTGAAAATAATGTAAAGTGTAGGCTCATCTTTGTATAAAGAGTTAATTGACCTAGAATTGCTTTTGAATATATCGTCCATTCCTCACAAATACACAAATTATTTCTGGGCTCTCATTGCCGTTGTGGTGACTTTTGTCTATGCTTATGTGGCAATTTTTAACTATCAGGTAACAAAGTCACAGATAAACTAGCAATGATTTTAATAGAAATAGTTTAAAAACTTTGCTTCAAGGAGAATGCTAAATTGTCTTCCAACTTCCAATTTTGTCCTACCACCTCCACCTGTCTCCCGAGTAACCCATGGCCTGTGCACATCTTGCCCCTAATGCTTCACAGAACTCACAGAGGTCCTCCCTCTGCTGAAGCTTCTTTCCTGGATCATTCCCTAGGACACACTGCACGACTTCACCTGGGAGTGCATATGCCCACTTCCCTCTCTCCCACCTGGCTCCTACATTTTAAACTGGGCTCCCCCATTTTAATGTCAAAGCACCCTACACTTTTTCCTTTTTTAAAAATAGGTTATCCTATTTTTAGAACAATTTTATATTTATATTTTTGAGCATTTTTATTTTTAGAGCAGTTTCATATTCACAGCAAAATTGATCAGAAGTTACGAAAATGTTTTCATGTATATCCTGTACTCATAAGCACACCTTATATTTCTTATTCTCTGAAAGTATGTATTATAATTTATAATTATACAGTTGTTAACTAAAATTGCATAATACCTTTCTCTTTGTCATAAAGTAACTCAAACTCATGAGGACAGAGCATTTCTGCTTTAATTACCCAAAGCAAAGCCTCAAAACTTTAGTGTCATTGAACAAATGTCTTGGTCTTAAATTTTTATTTCTTTTCCCCACACCCTGTCTTTAGAGAAGAGCTACAAATTAGCAATGAGGTAAAACAACAAAAACAAATAAGAGAAAAGCATATATAATCCAGAAAACTAATCCAAGAATTTGCTAGAAAGAAAAGAGATAGAAAAACAATAAAACAAAGAGGAAACTCACCCTGGAATTCTTAAGTTTCTGGACTGTATCTTTCATTTTTTCTTTATAATTTTTTACCTTCTCTGGAGAATCCACAATTTTAGTTTTTAAACTTTCTTGTACTTCTTTCAAAGAAACCACTGACAATTTTAGTTCATTCTGTTGAGAAACGTTTTTTTATATATGATAAAAGTGATGATTTATATTTCAATAACAGAAAAGAACAAAACAAAAGCCCACCTTTGGGGCAGGGGGTAGGGAATAAAATTAAACCGACTATTCCTTGCCTGACTCATCACTCAAACATTGTCATACATATGAATAAAGAGCTGTTTCCATGATCAGAGTGGTACTAGGACAGCAAACCACCCTTATCCTGCCTGCCTGCTCAACTTTCATTGATCCTTGAAAATCCAACTCCCATTTCCTCTATGCAATTTTATAATTATGCACCCAAGGTGTTTCCAAATTCACCATGCCACTTGTAGTTGTGAAGCTGTCTTTGTTCTCCCAGTACCCAAATGGAGCCACAGAACAGAGAAGGTGCTTAGCCCATGCTTGTTGAATCAAAACAAATCCCTCTCTTTTCCCTAATTTTAAAAGTGAATAATGAAACTACTAAAAGAAAAGAGGGGAACACTTCAAGAACACTGCAACGGCAAAAGACTTTTTGGACAAGACACCAAAAGCATAGGAAACAAGAACAATACATGAATAGGATTACAACAAACTGAAAAGCTTTTACCTAGCAAAGGAAACAACAGAGTGAAGAGGTCACACAGAATGGGAGCAGGAGTCTGCAAAAACCTGACAAGAAACTCCAAACTCAAGAGCAAAAAAGCCACCAATTAATTAAAATTGGTCAAGAGACATAGACATTTCTCAAAAAACAAATGGCCAACAGGAATTTGAAAACAACCTGCTCCCCACCACTAACCATCAGGAAAATCACCTGGCTCTAGTAAGAACGGCAATCACGGTTGTGGTGTGAACTGATAGATAACAATCGATAAGAGTGTAAGTTATAGATTAGTAAAAAATTTAGATTATAGGATATACGATTTTGAAAAGTGAGATAAGACAATTATAAAGCAAAAACTGTCATAGACAGGCCTAAGACTCCATTTTGTTGCCTTCTATAAAAAAACTGTTACAAGAGCTGTTTCTGAGAAACTGAAATGAAAGCTGTTTTCTGTACTTTGTACCCCATAAAATATACTCAACCCAGGATATGGTGGTCTTAGACTTTGAAGTAGGTTCTCATCCCCACTAACCACCTGCTCGAACTCAGGATTCAGTTGTCTAACACCTGCTCAGATCCAAGATGTGGTTAACTGAGTTGCAAGCTGACTGCTTTTTAGCTTCTGTAACTTGATTGCTTGCTTGCTAACTGGAAAATTCCAGTCCTGCTTAGGGCTTGCAGGTAACTACTGTTTTAGCTTCTCTGATTGGCTTGCTTGCATGACGCTGAGAAAAAGCCCTTGAGCTGTGGTTTTATCCTTAAATTCCCAAGACAGAGGCCTGGAAATTGCTGTTCTCCCAGAATTTCAGTTTGTACAGGTGGGTGACAGTCCCTGACCAGGCAAATAAAGATCTCTTTGATTTGAATTCGTACTTCGAGTGTTTTCTGAAGCAGCTCCTCATAATATCACCAAAAGAACAAAAGTGCAGGAGGATGTGGAGAAAAGGGCCCTCTTCCACCCAGAGGTGACAACATGAACCAGCCTAGGCATTACGGAAAACAGGAAGAGCCACAAAAAAACAGGAATGGAACCCCCACATGACCCAGCAACCAGACTCCTGGGTGCACATTCAAGGAGATGAAGTCCACGTGCTGCAGGGACCTCTGATCTCCTACGACCAATGCAGCACTTTGAAGGAAGCCCAGGAGGACAAGTGTCACAGGATCTCACTCAGGAAGAGTAGAATGGCGGTTTCCAGAGGGTGGGGTGAAGAGAGGTGGGCTGGTGCACACCAGGTTAGAGACGGGAGAAAACAACCCTGGCGTGCTATTGCACAGTAGGTAATCACAGGTAACAACTGTGTACTGTGAATTCCAAAACGCAAGAAGGACTCTGTCCAACATTTGAAATAGGTATGTCTAACGACTTAAACACTACACAATGTACATATGCAGGTATCAAAGCACAGTACCCCATTAATATGCACAATTTTACATATTCATACATCAATTAATAAAATTGAAGGGGGGTACCAGGTGTGCTGTCATGCACCGATAGTCCCAGCTACTCAGGAGGACTAGCAGACAGGTTGCTTGGGCCCCAGGCTTAATGGCAGCCTGATAACCCAGAAAGACCCTATATCTTAAAAAAAAAAAAAAAAAAGCGAATAGAACCCAAAGGAGTGAAAGAGTATTGAGGAATTCTCTCAAAAGTCTGCTTCAAGTCTGAAATCATGCTATAAAAACAAATTCAGTAAGCTTCCTTCCCAAATACTTAAGAGATAAATTGTGTTTATGTTGCTTGGGAAATTCTATCACTCTACATATTACCACAGAGGCTTTTTAGAAATGTTATAAATGTTATTCAGATATATCAAATATATCTGAATAAAAAGAACACAAATATATCCTTACAAAAACACAGCTAAACAGTGCCATGTGTCTGAGTGCAGAGCCACAGGGAGAGGATGAACTGGAGCCCCTCTGGGCCGTAGACCAAGGGAATGCTTATGTGTTAGGACAGAAGGTACAATCCTAGGACTTGTGCAATCCTTCTAGGTTTCTTATTTGGAAAGATTCTTACCTTTTGACCAGGCAACAGAGGACAAGGCTGACCGAAATAATGCATGTCTGTTACTGATGTGTACTATGTCTGTTACTGATGTGTGCTGTTACTTTATTCTTGGTGTTCAGCTCTAGAATTCGTTGGGCAATGTGGGTCAGCTGTGACTACTCACTTCCCTTGACCCCCCAAGTCCTGACTTTGGGAATCCCTTCAATGACAAAAGGGAGCACATGGGCAAGACGACAGGCATGGACAGGGTTCCAGGAAGATCTGCAGGATAGCACAGACACGTGCAGCCATCGATGGAAGGACGCATGTGTGCCACACTATGAAGTGGGGAAAGCAGGCACATGGCTCCAGTGTTTTCCCCACTGAACCTCACAGTCAGTGCTGGTGGCAGAAGGTGCTTACCAATCGTTTGGTCTTCTCTGAGATATCTGATTTCTTGTGGGAACTTCCCTCCTGCAGCACTATCTAAGGGAAAAAGCCAACCAAGGGGTTATGATTTAAAACAGACTGAAATGGAATCACTTGCTGCTTTCTCACAAAATCAAGATGAGAAAGAAGAGAAAGGAGTTTGACCAGCCTCAAACACTCTGTGCTTGTAATGCCCATGGGCCAGAATAACTATCTAAGGATTCCTCCACAAAATGATTAAGTCAAAGTGACTGCACACTTCTGTTTGACAATGCTGCAGTCCTTTGAGAAAATAAACATTTAACTGGAAAGAGTATTTTAGTTTATTCTTAGATTATCACACTACTTACTCATTAGGCATATATATGACCTATTGGATGTTGCATAAATCCCTGTACCCTGTAAGCAGATGTGACAGAAATTCTCAGGTCCTCCTTCCATAATGATTTTCACATGGCACTTGCTTTTTATCATGGTAAATGCCAAAACCCCAAAGATATCAAATGGTAATGTGATCTAAAAACGGAAGTGGACTACCTTGAGCTAGGAGCTACAGCAGTGTCTGAGAGATGCTGGGTACCACAATGCTTCCCTGGAAATTTAAACTATCCCGAGCACCCCTGAGCTTGCTGCAGTGTCCAGGGTGCCTCTAGTCTCAGTAGGAGCAAGCTTAGGAGAACCCTAAGACGCCTGCTCAACCAGACTGGACACAACACTGCAACACAAACAAAAAGCCACCTGTTCAGGGATGACTGATACACTATAAGGGGCACAAATGGGCCTAGCAAGCACTGTTCTTCAGTAATGGAAAGCAGTGAGCTCCTATCCCCCTTACACACCCCTATGGAAATGTAATTTAAAAAATTTCAAGATGTTTCACAACAGATACCGTTTTTTGACGAAATTCCTGATTCAATGATTGCTGTAGCTCCTGAATATCATCAGTAAGTTGCTTGAATTCTTCTTGCTCTTCAACTGGAACAGAACTGAACACAGTAAAATAGATTAAAATAACATCACATTCTTAACTTTGAAAGGCCAAAATAAAACCCATACCCTCAACTTAGATGCAGAATCTACTTTTCTGTTTTTTGAATCACACACTCTCCAGCCATTTGAAGTAGATGGCCTGGCACTGCTGAGAGAAATGAAAGCCTGAGGAGCCCTCAGTATCCTCCCATGGAGTCTCTATGCAGGCAGCACCCACAGCTGTGCTGTCCGACTTCACTCCTGTGAGATGCACACACAATGCCTTCTCTAATGCTCCTCCCCTATCCCCAGGCCTCTACCATTCCTAACACACACAGGCTCAAGCCTCTTCCCCACAAAAGTTCTAGTATGATTTTTGCATAACTAATGTATCAGCATCTGTTTTGATTTTATTGTGAACTCTATGCATAGCCTTCTCCCAGATTTCTATTAAGTCATCTTTTCCCTTCAGTTTGCAGGACTTTTTTTGTAGGTAGAAAAACTACCTGAGTTTTGTTAGTATAGTCTGCAATGCTTTGCAGCAAATGTTGCAAAAATTCTCTCCCAGTTTGCACATTTCTTTTGATCTGGTTTGCAGTGTTTTTACCATGTTAAATCTCAGTATCTTCCTCTCATCCCCAGGCTTTTCAGTTTATTACCGATTGTAAAGGCAATTTTTACCAGAAACAGGTCAGAAAAGCTCTCTCCTAAAACAGGCAACCTCAGAGACCTCAGCATATTAGAAAGGACTTGAAAAACAAAAACTAGCCAGGCACAGTGGCACATGCCTACAATCCCAACAGCTCAGGAGGATTGCAAGTTCAAAGCCAGCCTCAGCAACAACAAGGTGCTCAGCAACTCAGTGAGACCCTGTCTCTAAATAAAATACAAAATAGGGACGGGGATATCTTAGTGATAGAGTACCCCTGAGTTCAATCCCCAGCACACACACACACACACACACACACACACACACACACAAAATAAACAAACAAAAAAACCACAGATGGTCCTTGACTCATGATGGTTTTTCACCTTCATGATGATGTGAAAACAACTCATGTGCAATAGGAATGGTACTTCACATTTTGATTTTCCCAGGCTAGTGACAGGTGAAAATGTTGCAGCTCCCCATCTGCCACCAGCATGAGGATACGCACCACTGCAAATGAGAACACCAAGCTCCACTGCACACTGGCTGACAAACCAGGGTAACAGTGGCACGTGGGTAGGGAGCATCAGGTGCTCTTTCAATTGGGATGTTTTTCATTTAAGGTGGTTGGTGGGACACACCCCATCATAGGTTGAGGAGCATCTGTCAGTACACAGGAGACTGAGGAACTGTCATTTGAATATCTTTCCCTTTACTCTTGAGTCCAACGCAGAACAATGTGGAAGAGCAAACATGCTACCAGCATTAGATGCTGTGAAGAAAGGGTCCCGACAGCTAGTGCTCATCTGCAGAGACAAAGGCTGGAGGTGTAATGAGGGAAGCAATTTAAAGGCATCAAATGAGTCAGGCTAATGCATCATCAAGAGACAGAGCCCAAGAAAACTGAAGCAACGAGTTTTAAGAAAATACATCATTCTCTTTCAGAAAAGGCACACTTAAATACTCTGCACTTACAGCGGAAGACAAGACTTAAGGTGGCCTTCAAGATGGTAACACCATTCACACTCACTGTGCATTTTGAAACTGTTCACTTCCTTGCAAACCCCACTTACTCGAGCCTCTCCATTTTCAGCAGCGCCTCCTGGTGTGCGATGCTCAGCTGTTGCATTTTGTCCACAGAGGATTTCTATCAAAGCAACATCAGCAATCTCTCCTCAGTGCTTTCCAAGAGCCATGGATTTCCTCACACATAACACTACTAGCAATAACTACAAAATGTTTACTCACACCATRATTTTCCCATTAGAAATAAATTTTAGTAGAGCTAGTCAGTCATTCCTCACAAGTGAGTTAGGAATTTTACTTAACACAAATGATATTTGCAACAAACATTTCTAAACAGATTGCTGGTTCATAAATGAGGTTATGCATCTGTTGTATGACCCTCAAGTATATTTATATCTTACATATTGCCAAAGAAATTCCATGTAAGTCTCACGGCATGCTTCTCTGAAGTGAATAAAGTTGATAATGCCACTTAAAAACCGACTCGTCCGTTTTGCTTCTAAAATATAAAGCAAGACTATTTTAAGTAAATGATTGAAACAACATAACGTAGAAATATTCATTCTCTCCCCCTGTATTACTTTGCTCATGGTATGTAAAATAAAACCATGTGACAATCTGTTCTAACTTCAAGATCAGAATTACCCTTATATATTAATAATTAGGAAAAAAGAGCCAATTACTTTTGGACATTATGGAAACAGCAAAAACCTGACTGGCTTGTATCCCTTAAATAACTATAAAGAAACAGTCCGTGCAGCGACAAACTTCAGATACTGGACACAGGCCCTGCAAGCGAGCACTATCAGGGCACTGGCCTGTAATTCAAGCTCCCAGACTGCAGCCCAGACAGCACAACGCAATCAGAACTCATGGGTCTTGGAGGGTCAGAAAAACAGGCCAACCACACCTGTAATCCCAGCAACTCAGGAATCCCAGGTAGGAGAATCCAAGTTCAAGGCCACCTGGGSAACTCAGTGAGATCCTGCCTCAAAATAAAAGTAAAAACAGCTGGGGATGTAGCTCAGTGGTAGAATACCCCTGAGTTCAATTCCTAGTACCAAATAAATAAAAAATGATAAAGATAAAGTCTTAAAAGCAGCCAGAGGGGGGGAAAAAAAAACTGAGCAAATCACATGGATAGACAGAACAGCAGTGACTTCTCATCAACAGCAACACAAGCAGAAGATAGGGTGGCCATGTGGTCAACTCAGAGTTCTACGTGAAAGGGAAATTTCTTTCAAAAAGAAAGGCAAATTAAAGGGTGTTTATTAGCAGTATTAGAAATATTAAATGAAATCCTCCAGTTGCAGGGAAAGATCATACCAGAGAGGGACTGGACATACTTAAAAGAACGTGGGTTAATATAAAAGAAAATTTTCCTCATTTAAACAATGCTTTTAAAAGATGATCAACTGAAGCCATCTCATAACAATATGTCAAAGCATTCACATATCTGTAGAATAAACTTTATAGCATGATCACACAAAGGACAATAATGGGGAATGGAAATAAACTCTTTGTAAGGTATAATATATATTAAGACAAACAGAAATAGGCTAAAGATATGTGCATACATATTAAACCCTACAGTAAATACCAAAACTAAATAAAAATAAATATATCCCAATAAACCAAAATAAAGCAGGAAATGGGGAAAACAGTAATAGGACAAGGTAAATTTAAATCAAATCACACCAATAGTAACATTAACTGTAAGTGAACTAAACAGTCCAATTGACAGACAACAGCAAGCAAAACAAGAACCCCGCTACAGGCAGTCTCTAAGAGACCCACTTCAGATACAATGACTCAAATAACTGCAAAGCAAAGACAATATGTCCTGGGATATAAAGCATATTTCAGAACAAGTCCAGAGAATATTTCTAGATGTGTTGCCTTCAAAACTAGGCAGAACAGACAAATCCACAATCATGTCTGAAGATGTCAATAAATAAATGTGTTATCTGAAGCCATCTAGTTTGTGATAGTTTATTAGGGCTCCGAAAGGCAGCAAATACAGACCATGTTCTGGGCCATAAAAAAGGTATGAATAAACTGAAATGGGGTCAAATTGAACAAATCTCTAATCCCAAAGGAACTAAATCACAAATCAGCAACAGAAAGATAGCTAGACAAACCCTGAATGTTTTAAAAAGTAGACAACACACTTAAAACCTGCCGGTGAATGAAAAAAAAAATTAAAAAGAAAATTAGAAAATGTTTCGAATTGAATGAGAAATGAAAATACAAGACAGTGGGGTTTATAGAATATAGATGAAGTTGAGATAGAGGGAAATTCACACATTAAACCCTCTTACTAGGGAAAAAAACAAAACAAAACAAACAAACAACAACAACAACAAAAACAGGCCTGAAACTAATGACCTCAGCTCCTGCTCTAAAGTAAAAAACAGAAACTAAGAATAAATGAAACCAAAAGTAAACATGAGCAAAGAACCCTCCAAGGTTTAGGGTACTTTTTTCACAGTGGACACATATTAGAAACAATTCAAATGTCTATCTACTGAAGAGAATACTCCAAAATAAAAAGATACACAGCAGCAATAAGTGCAAGTAACATGGATAAATCTCAACCGGGCTGTGCTTAAAGAAGTAGACACCAGGACAATCACCTAGTACATGGGAGGTCCTGGGTTTGATCCTCAGCACCGTATAATAATAAATAAATAAAATGAAAGTATTATTAAAAAAAAAAAAAAAAAAAAAAGCAGCAGCAGCAGACACCATACACCCAGCAGCTCTGGGGGCTGAGGCAGCCTCAGCAAAAGTGAAGCACTAAGCAATTCAGTGAGACCCTATCTCTAAATAAAATACAAAATAGGGCTGGGGATGTGGTAAGAGGTCAAGTACCTGAGTTCATTCCCTGGTACAAAAGAAAAAATAAATTAAAAAAGGAAAAATAAAAAAGAAGCAGACATCACGAGTGGCAGACCGTATTCTTTCATCTGTATGAAATTCTGGAAAAGCTAAAGCTAGAGTGACAGAAGACACGCCAGGGTTGCAAGCAGTGAGGCAGCCATGGGAGGCTGACTGCAAAGGGACACCAAGGGACTCCTAAGGGCCATGGACCCGTGCTATACACAACTGTGGCAGTGGCTCACAAGTACACGTATTTATTAAAACACATCCAATTTACATTTAAAATCCATGAGGTCTGCCATGCATATACTACATCCATAGACAAAAGTCAGAGATCCAAGAGGGCAAAAATGAATCAAGGGACACAAAGCTGGGAAATTTTACATCTAAAATAACAGCATGACCATGATGCATACTAAAAGAGAACTTCTTCATGGTGAAAAGTACCGTTAACTTGATAAAGTTAATATGAATAAATATGAATAGTCTACTATGTGACATCACATCTGCATTTTTTTTTTTTTTTTAAGTACTGGGGATTGAACTCAGGGGCACTTGACCAGTGAGCCACATCCCCAGACCTATTTTGTATTTTATTTAGAGACAGGGTCTCACTGAATTGCTTAGGCCTCGCTTTTGTTGAAGGTGGCTTTGAACTCATGATCCCAAGGCGCTGGGATTACAGGCATGTGCCACGGTGCCTGGCCTCTCCAAATTTAAAGAATATTTTTTAAATGTAAGGAGTTAAGAAAAAAATTAGTCAGAAACACAGCTTTTATGTTGATCTACAAAGGAAAAACAGCTCAATAAAAGGATGTAATAAAACACATCTCTAAGGATGGGATGCACTTGAAACCTACTCTAAGTCTTTCCTCCACATTTTTCAATGGAAAGGTAAAGTGGTTGGTTAAAGCCAGACAATAAAACTGTTTAAATTTTCACTTACTTGGATACAGAATATCAGCAATCTCAAAGTCATTCACCCGGCAGATGGGCAGAAATGAATCCCTTTTATAGAAAGAATATCAATAAATGAGTTGTAAGCTATACTGAACCATTGAGCATAAATACCCCATTTTTAGAGAGATTTCTGGAGGTTTCCCTCAGGGTTGCAGGACCAAGTTGAGCCCACTGTAGTGCAGAGCTCGATAGCTACACAAGCCTTTCTTAGAGCCAGGGACACCACAGATTCTAATGAACAGGCACCTGGGCACACCGAGACTCTAGAACTCGAAACTCTCCACAAAGCTGGCTGAGGACTGCCATTTACATGGCCTCCGAACTTCAGTGGACAGACCCTGAGAAGTGCTAGAAGTGAAGGGAGTTCTGGTTGGTAGAAACCTGTACTTCAGAACATACACAGAGAGGAAAGGAAGATGATGGAACTCCTTCCCAAAGATAGCAATGTCATTTAAAGGGTTTAATGCCATGCAAATACAAAAGCAGATGGAGAAAGTAAAATGGGGGTTTACTCACAGATGAATGAATAAGTTGCTAACTGGTAAAAAGCCTTCCATTATATGTGGATACATAACTTCAGTGTTCACGGGCATCTGCATGTAGTAAGTCACAAAACCTAAGTCACACATTGATTAAAAGAGTTTCTTTAGCCATAAACTAAAAGTAACCTTAATCAGAGGTTAAGATGAAATTGTATCAACTTTATCATTAAATCTGAAAAAAACAATGCAGCTCCTGCTACTAAGCTACAATCGACATTAATATTTCTAATGATAGGGTTTACAGGGGGTGCTAAATAAAGACTTTTAAATGAATAAAAAAATAGAAGGATAACCACAAGCCACCACTGTGTATCAGGCATCATTCTGGGGTTTTATTTATTTTCTCTTCTGATTTTTACAAGGATCTATAAACAAAGTGCTGTTCCCTTTTTATAGAAAAAGAAACTACAATTGGCAAGGTTTCATTGTAAAAGGGTGGCTGTCTTTGATTTTTATTTTATTTTTTTCAACAAAACTGCAGTTTAATTTCAGAAAATGTGTTAAAATATATATCTATACATCAATTTCTGACATACACTTAATGTGTTAGTATACACAAAATGATGCTTTCTCTTGAAACTGTATTTATGAAACGTACATTTTAATTTAAATACTCAGTATACACTGCACTTAATCTTCATGTTGCAATTTTTAAATACATTAAAATCTGCAATGTAACAAAACGTTTTCTGCATACGAAATTGTTTTTTGTTTTGTTTTTGTTTTTATTTTGTTTTGTTTTTTTAATATATATAATGCACATTCTTCATGTATTTTTATTTAGTGTTTTCTCGGTCACAATTTTCTTTGCTGTCTAACATGATCTGCATGACCTATAATCTTTGAACTACTTTCGTACCTCATGTTTTTATCCAGCACTCTTACTGTAATATGTACTAATCTGTGAACAATGTCAAATAAAAAAAGAACAGGTGGGTTGGTGGAGCTGAGCTAGTGTGCAAAACGCTAGTTGTACAAAAACAAAAATGAAGTGAGCCATCTTTTGTTCATTTAAAATTTCTTTGATTTTTAAACAACAGATCATGTTGATGAGACTCCAAAGACTCTAACATTGTCAGAGAATCTTCAGAGGATGCCCTCGGGACTTCATTGCAAAAAAATAATAATACAATAAAGAAAGTGGCCTTTCCTACTAGAAACAGCTAATTTGCTGAGAGCTCAGCTGCCTCATTTCTAGCATTGTTCTGACTGTATGCCTGCTCTTCTCACCTAGGAGTCCTTCCTGAGACGAGACCCTTGTCCATGTACACTCACTGTGTCCGTGGGTCTCAGGGGACCTATAAACCTGGGAATAGCCTCAGTGATGTCTAGGTGTTGTTCAGGGCTTCCACTGAGGTCTGTCTTGGTAAAGCTATGCATATAAACCATTATTATGCCTAAAATTCCTTCACAAGTGACATTAATTTTACACAAGCCTTTGAATGTGTCAAAACAGTCAAGATTTCCTTAAAAGGCAGTATGCACGTAAGCAGGAGAACTGCAGTAAAACACGAAACATTGTTTTGCCTTACCATAAACTTACCATGTAAAAATGCTCCAATCGAATGCCATAGACTATCTGTAAGGCCCTCATGTAGATCATATACAAGACTTCAGGCTGCAACGGAAAGGAACTTTCAATACTCTTGACGCATGACTCCAGCACTACATCACTACCACCACTGTCCAATGCTATAGTCAGTAAACACAGAGAAAAGGGTGACAACTGTTCCATCTCCTTGAAATGTTTCACAATTTTTCAGATTTTAAAATACCTTATGATTCATGTCAGTTGTTCCAAGTGCCGAAAGTAGACAAGAAGACAGCTGCTTAAGAACAAACACACTCTTCTAAATCAAATTCAAGCCACCCCCACCCCAGGCAATGGAGGAAGTTAGTTCATCTTTCAGATCTGCTGGTTGCCAAGAATATGGCAGATGTGTCCCAACACTGAGAATATATTTCTTGAAAAAGATCATGAGAAATCTTGTTGCTACCTTAGACATTAAGATTTTCTTGGATGTGAAGTTTAAGAGACAACTTAAAACAAGTGGGATAAACTCAATGAGGAAATACAGAAGTTTAAAAACCTTATTGTATGAGCAGAAAAGTGAGAAATATAGAGAAAATATTGCACCTTTTCAAAAAGTTAACTTTACTCAGTTTAAAGGCCCATCATTTACTCTGAGCTGACTTCCCTCATTTTAAAGAATTAAAGGATACTGACATTAGACAGTCTGAGTTCCATGTCACGGAACCAGGCTTCCCTATGTTGTCACTGCAAGGTAATACCAAGACTGGAAAAGGACTCTGGATGCTCTGTGACACACACACAGTCCATTTCAGCATTTAATAACCATGTGAGGAATGATGCCCATCAAAGCAAGTCAACTCTCTCTTGGGGCATAAAGCAAGAAGAGTAATCTGTAAGAGTCCAAGGGGATAATTTCAAGCATTTTCTATGGTAGGAAACCACTAGGAATAAGTTCCCCTAAGCCCTGCCAATACATTAAATCCGTGTACCACACTTCAACAGCAATAAAAAAAACTTAATATCCTTTAATATATCTATGATTTAAAAACGGCTGTTTTTTTTTTTTTTTTAAAGAAAACAATCATATTAAAAAAGTGAATTCCTAATGGGAGGGCAGAAATCATCTCACATACAAATTTAATGTTATTTAAAATTACACTAGCTGAAATCTTTCTCTGTATTAAAATTAACAACATGACATGGCATGGTGACCTACTTGTTCTCTAACACCAATACCTACTTCAAACATCAAGACATTTTACCTTTGGATTTGGATAAAGGTCATTCTTGGAGAGGTTTTTTCCATCCGCTCCTGTTAAGAACTTATTGCGAATATGAACCACAATCTCAGCAACTTTATATCTGGGAAAAGACAAAGTTTCCATCTTGGGACTTGTAGTCTGAAGGAAGGGGGAAAAAAAAAAGATCAGAAATACAATCAGTAGTTCTCATTGTCTGGAACTTGATAATCAATAAGAACAAAACAAGTCAAGTTGAACTAGTGACACTAGCACTATTATCAAATATTTAATAAGACAAAGATGTATATCCTAAAATAAAATTCTACCAAGCACAGTCATTTTCTGCTAATTTTCCTAATGCTGTTCACTATTATCTTCCACATGGGAAAGAGGATTTTATTTGAACACACAACTGGGAAATCATGTGTTTCCTTCTTCACATTTGAGGGGTCAGACAGAGGTTTTGCATAGCATAAGGCACCATCATTAGAAGCTATATATAAGGGATGATAACACATGGAAGGAAAAAAATATCATATTCTGATTCAAAATTCTATTCATTACATACACAATGAGATGACTATTAAAGTTTAAGATGCAAGAGGAAAAAATCAGTAAAAACAGATGCAGAAATTCCTAAAGCAAGAACTTTAAAAAACAAAACAAAAACCCCTTTTCCCTAATGTTTTCCTATGGTGAGTTGGTCCTGTGCCCCCCTAAAGCAGCAGTTCTCACAGTTCTGTACCCCCTGCTCTTGTAGGCTCATTTGCTTGGAGACATTTGGTTGTCAGGCCAGGAGTAGCAATGCTGCTGGAATCTAGTCAGTAGAGGTGGGAATGCCTCTAAACGTCCCACAACATCCATCTACAATGGCTCCTCACAACGAAGAATTATCCAAAATGCTCACAGGATAAGGTTAAGAAAGCCTGTCCTAGAACTTGCATTTAACCTTGTGGCTATGTACTGAGATTTCACTTACAGAACTCTGACGCTACCTGGAGAGTCCAATAAGCTAAGACTCATTTCTTTACCAAGAAGAGGAGGGGCCTTAACCTCTTGCTTAAATACTAATTTAATTGCTCAAAGATCCCCTCTTTCCCACGATGTCCCAGGGAAGAAGCCAATGTGGAGACCCAATGTGAACATACTCAACTTTGCAGATATGCTGATATTCTGAAATGGCCACAATTCTGGAAATCTTGTTTTCTTTTTCAGGTTCCTAATGTTTCTTAGAACATTAGGGTTAAAAAGAAGCACTGGCAACTAGCCTAACTAAAGCTATTTTAAAAGATGATTATAAAAACTGCCTAGTTCCATATAAACCCTTGAAAGCATCACAGTAGTCACTCTCAAGTAGACTCCTTTCCAAATTAAGGAAGTTTTCCAATAACCATGTTTTTACACTCCATATTTCTTCAAACTGAAAGGAGGCTCAATCCCTTACACCAGCCTGAGAGGCACCAGGGAACTTAGACTAGCATGCTTCTGATCAACACAGCCTAGCTAAACCTACATATGTGTATTTGCTGCCTTTTGTCCCACTCTGCCTGCTATTAAAAAAAGGATGGAGGTTGGAGACAGAAAGGTCTTCAGCCCTTTCTTGAAGCTGGCTTTGAAGAAACCTTTTTCCTGCAAAGGAGCCAGAGTTTGGGGGAGCCAGAGCAGTAAACCTATTCATTCCATACCACAACTGTCCATCAAGGCAACTTTTTCCACTTCAGAGTGGCTCTCACAGTTAAATAACTCTTCCTCATGCTGTAATGTTTGTTGTGGAATTTTGGTCATTGCCTTGATTTCTAGTTACCACAACTTCACAGAATGTATCAATCCCTGTTTAAATGACAGTTCTTTCAAAAAATGTGCAGAAGGTCATTGGGTCTCTGCTAAGCCCTCTTATTCTAGAATAATTTCTTTACCTAAGAGCAAGCCCTTCCATCTGTGAGAGGAAAAAAAGCAAACTTTCCCCTAGCTCAACAGCAATCAACACTGAAGGCTCATGACAAGACTGGGATGAGTGGTGCCTGCACACACCAAGCAAGTTGTGCATGTGGCGCCAGCTAGGTGTTCACTAGCTACATTCATACTATCTACCGGATAGATTTAGATCCCATAGGCTAAGGGCTCAGACTATCTCCTCAGCCCACATGCCAATCAGAAATCCCAGATCATTTCACCTGTGCTTCTGACCAACCTGCTATTTATTGGAGTTCACACCATTTCCTTTTTGGGTTCACTTAATTTGCTGGACAAACTCACAGAACTCAGGGAACACTTATGTAACAGGGACTTAGGCTGCTTTTGCTAAAAGCAGTGACTTCACTTAGGTCTGGAGATGCCCCATGGATAACTAAAAGCAGGATAAAGTTTGGCATCTCTACCTTCATTTTGCACCTGTCTCCTTTGTCACCTTAAACTCTAACCTGCTCAGGTAGGTATGCAAATCATTTAAGAAATATTTACCTAAAAATTAGTAATACAAGCTTCATCTGCCCTAAATTTATCTCACCTGTCCACTTTAAGACTGAGGCCAGATTTGCAGCATCCAGTTTCACACACAGGAGTGGCACCTGGAAGTGTCCATACTTTGCCCTATATAGCAGATCCTATGTTACAGGCACACCACTCCAGGATAAGACTGATTCATCCTCCAGGCAGGAGCAATTATCTCATGGGAGCCAACCTGCCCCCTTCCAGGATCCCAGGTCTGACAGATAAACATTCTAAGCAACAAGTGGAAATTGGACTTCAAGGAATAAGGACTTCATGAGAGCTCCTGTATAGAGCCAGGACTGAGAGAATGATAGGCCAGACCAGTTTGACCATGATGGTTTAATTATGCAGACCTCCTGCCCTGATTCCTCCTCTATTTAAACCTAAAGCTGCCTTCAAACTGAAAGACAGGGCTGAGATGTTGGATCTTAGCATAAGTCTTCCCAATGTAGCCATACAAAGTTTTTTTTCTGCTTTTCACCATTCCCATTTCTGTATGGTTTTGGGAATGAATGATCCCAGAACATAGCCTAGGACTCCTGCAAAACATTTACTGGCTAATTATAAAGGAATATTACAAGTGATGGAACACCAGATGAAAGGACAGGTAGGGCAAGGTATGAGGGAAAGGGTTACAACCTCCAGGAATACTGGGGTTCACATCATCTGGATGGTCATCAGAAACTCTTCAAAACCAATCCTTCTGGGTTTTACATAAGTTTATTATATAGACATGATTGATTACATTACTGGACACTGGTGATCTGTTCATTCCCTGAGATCAGAGGTGGGGCTAAAAGTTCTAATTCTCTAAGCCTGCCTACGTTCTTCAGATGAAAGCCCATCCAGAAGCTACCTAGGGGATACCAGCCCTCAGTCAACAGCTAGCTCATAAAAGGTCACTTATCACTTTGAAGACTCCAAGGATTTTAAGATTTGTGTGCCAGGAACTCAGGATGAACACCAAAAGCATATTGTAAAATATTATACCCTCATACTTACCTTCCTCTGAAATATGATTTTGTCAGTGTCTTCCTAAAATATAATGCCCAAGCTTAACACAACACTCCAGATATGATTGGCCCAGGGCAGAGTATTAATAGTAAGGAGACTTCTCTGCTGGGCTACAAATGTAACACTCATTCACAAACATGTTTATGATGGATATTAAGAACATCCTCAGGGTGACCCCTTATATCAGCTGTATTTCCCCATGATCCTGGCATAACTATTTGTAACTTAGGCAAGGATTTGTATTTCCTACTATTGAATTTCACAACTGCACATTTCTATTTTAGAATGAAGATCATTTTATGTAGACTCAGATCCTTCACATATTAGGTGTCTCTATTACCTTAACTGAGAGGGAAAGTAAAATTCCTATCCCAGGATGTTTCTTTGACATTATTTCAAGCTGATTTGGCAGAGAAAATGCAGACTTCTTCAGACAAAGAAAAGGCTCTAAAAAGCTGTCCTTTTGTAAACAGTTTACAAAAGGACAGCTTTTTAGATAGATGTAGATAGTAAACATCGAAGTGGGTGGAGATATTTCTACGGTGGCTTTTAAGGGTAAGATTTTATCATATAGCAAGACAACTACCAGCCCTGGCTTGCTGTCACCTTCTCCCCTTGGGCCTCCAAAGCCTGCAGCCACCTCCCCTGCCCACCCTCAAGCCCAAGGCACTAAACCTTTGTTTAGCTTTTTATAAACCTCAACATCTAGCCCTTCTGTGCTTAGGCACATAATAAGTTCTGGATTTTCCCCGCTTTCAACATCCTACTGTCAGTTTAAACTAGCAAGCCTTCAGAGGGAAAATAGACACTTAAAACTTCCCTACAGATGCAATCTATACTTTCTGCTAAGTCATATATTTAAGAACCCATGATGAAAGATTACAGGTCACTCTTCCAAAACAAAGTAGACCTTAATTAGAGACTGTCACAATAGAGAGGTGGGTAGGAAATAACTTCAGAGTCATTACCGCACATCCCTCTCCTGATGTCAGTCTGCAAAACGTCTCGGGTATAATATTTGTACAAAAGTACTTAAATGACCTTTCCCATCACATCAAWTCAAATTGTTCTGCTGGGTTTCCAAAACCGCGGAAACCCGATGAACTTCCTCCCCGAGTTGGCCCCGGCCTCCCACGTCTCTGGGGAGTCTCCTCCGCCTTCAAGCCGCCCTCCTCCCGCAGCACACTGGGCCCTGGGCACCGGGAACCGCGGGTGCCCGCGACACACACGTCGAGGGAAACCCGGGGCCGGACGGAACGGCCGCGGCCACCGGCTCCTCACTCGCCCCAACGGCCCGACTTCCGACACGCCCCGGGCCGGTGGCTGAGGAAATCCCGACTCGAGACCCTCCACCGCGGCGAGCGACGGTCCCCTCCAGTCCCGGCCAGCCCGGCACCCGGCCAGCACCCGTCCGCCGGGGGCCAGCCCGCTCACCTACACACACGGCCGCCAAGAAAGGGCCCTCGCGCGGAACGGCGGCGTCGGCCTCCCCAGCCGGCGCCGACCGTTGCTCTTTCAAATCCGCCGCTCGCCGGAAGTGCCTGTCCTTCCGGCGCCATCCCCGCCCCTTCCTGGGGACTGGTGGCCGACCGGGGCCAAAAGACCGTCGCTCCCGGAAGCCGGCCGGAACTAGAGGCTCGGGCTCTAGTCTGACCCGGAKCGCTGAGGCGACGGCGGGGGGCGGGCGGGCGCCCCAGTCAAAGGAGAACCAAGGTCCAGCAGGAAGGACCACCCGGCACAGAGTCGGCACCTGGTCGGAAATTGGACCCAGCCGTCTTCTCGATGGGGCAATTGAGGCGCTGCCTGGCCGCGGTGGAGACCCCAGGTCGACGAGCCAGCGGTACGGCCGCCGGGTGCTGCCTCTGCATCTCCAGAAGCCCTGTGCCCAGGCAAGGGTCGGTCCCCGTGCAGTGAGCCCAGGGCTTGGGGCTCAAGTGTGGCGGGCCCGGGGTCCGGGAGCAGCGGGTCCCGGTGCAGCGAGCCCAGGTACAGGAACGCTCAGGTGTAGC